ATGTTTTGATCTTTTCAGCCCTTGGCTGATAAAACAAATTACGAACACTTAGCGTAACCATTTTTTAAGGTCATCGCTCTATTCAATCAGGCATTCAACTTAAATGCAACGCAAGTGCATTTAGTAAGAGTATTCAGCCCTACAGCAATTAAAATAATTAATGCACTTGCAACAATACAAATAATAAAATGAATCTGCTGAAAAAAGTTATATATTTAATTCGTACGATTTTTCACCCTTGTGACGGTGTATCATCAGCCAGTTGAGCACTGCTCCTACTGTATAAATGGATTCTGTTCCTTAATTATGCTTGTTTTAATCTTTACAGGATGAATTTGACGTTCACACAAACAAGTTTGACATCGATGGAGCTTATATTCCACGAATCATATTCATGGGTTGGTATTTCTAGTAAAACATGCCTCAATTAACATCGTTATTCAACTTCGTTCCCACAGACTGCATTCCATTAAAATAAAGACACCGAAAAACCAACGAAGGGTTCCTGACAGATGTCTCCTTCCTGCCGTCGTTAAGAAAATAAGCCGAATAGGAATGATGACAAAGAATTTACAAAAAGCGCTTCTCTTTCAATACGGGATAAAAGATCTTATACTACTGGCAGGGTGTCTACAGTTATACACGAATGTCTGTAAATCTAGAGTGAAGTATAAAAAATCCCTACTATAAGGAAATAAAAGTTGCTGTTTAATGAGCGAGATTGAAAATGGCATCCGACGTCGTTCTTGAAAGAATGAGGGGTCAATTTTTTTCAATGCAACTGCTAATGGTATGATATAGGGTTTAAAGCAACAATAGGCGACTGAATTGTTGAGACGCTTTCGTGAAATGGTATGTCGTTTGGCGAAAAGAACAGTCTGGACCTTCCCCCTCCCCCAGTTCGATGTTGACTAGTCCGTTGTTTTCTGTAGGTAACTTGAGCAGCCACAATTTAACGCTCTGGGAGAAGGGGATCCTTTTTCTTTTAACTTAGTTTGACCCAGAGGGTAGACTTAAGGTAACAAGAAGAGATTTCTTGTGCAGTGTAAAACTTATTATGTAAATGATTTTAAATTTTTGAATAACAGATCCTTTGGGTAACGTAATGGAGAAGATTTCTAATGCAGGAACAGTTTACAAAGAGAGCAAGTATTACTACTGGGAACCAACAGCAGGTAGGGCCAGATTATCTTGGGTTAGTTGTGAAACGTTATGTGTTCCCTAGCTGTACAATACAATACAGAAACTATCAGGATTTGCTTTATCTATCACAATATTGAGATGATCAACGTAACTTACATTACCGTGCTTACAACTAAAATGTAAACTTCAAGAAAAGAATTTTAAAATTGCTTTATCTTACACAGGTTTTTATTGGATAGATCTACACTTGACGCCTCCATATTTGTCACTCCAGAAACTATAGGGGAATGGGTATATTCAGGCATTCGGCGCAACGATTTCTGGGATTGTTTGAGTGGACAAGGGTTACTTATGATTAGTTAATAGTTGCTTTCAGTACCATCGAAAAATCATTAGTTTTTGCTTATCTCTTAATTTCTTTTTTTACAGCTGTAAGGTCCATGCAGAAAGCTGTAGACAAAGTCAAGACGATGACAAGACCAAAAGACGAACTGTAACTTAGAGGGACGAGAAGCATCTTCGCATCAGTTAACTATTACTAAGTTTCTTAGATTTTCTAGACTTTGGAAACTTGTGAATGATTTTCGTACAAAGAATCTTCAGTTTTTGGTAAATAAACAACAGTAAAAAGGTACTAAAATTGCGTAATTTACTTTCAAGTCAAGATTAAATCGAACTTCCTCTTGTCGACACGGCCTATTGCGGACATTTCTGCTGGTCAAAGAGATACTCAATTACAAACAGATCCTTAAAAAACATGCAAAGCAAGCGTATTTTGCAGTGCGAACGATTTGGACGTTAAAACTGACCGAGAGTTGGGGCGAGTCAAAAGATGATTCCAAGGGGAGGTTGACTTTCATGATAGCGGCCTCAATCAATGTACCTTAAAAAACAAACAAACAAAACAGAGGCACCTGCTTTAGCAATATAATCAGCGTTTGTAGTACATTTAAAAATTTGAGTTAATAAATTTACATGCGTGTCGAATTCAGATTGGAAAACTGTGTAGAATGGAGCAGGCGGTGCCAAGCGGTAGGGAAAACATGTTCAATGAATTAACCGCTGGATATCGGTTTGCAGTTTCATTTTGAATTCTGATTGTTTGATGCAGAGGCTCGAATTATTTCAGACAATAAACAGTGTATTCGCAATCCTGTTTTGAAAAGCGCTTAACTTTTTCAAAGAGAAGTAAAGCGCTGTCCGTCAGTTGTCCGCGTTTTGTCTGCTTAGCAGATCGAGTTTGTTCTTCTTTTATCACACCAAGTGACATCAAGTTGACTGACAGGTTGGAATTCCTACATGAGTAGCTAGGATAAGGCGTTTTCCTCCGATTGTTGGAAATATAAATACAGTCAAACAGTCTTAATACCCTGGACACTAAAGGACAGAATCAAGAGTCCTTATTACAGAGGTGTCTATATAATGACTTCGTAATCTCAATTTTCACAACTTTCGCATCGTAAAGCCGGGGCTGCGACCAGTTGGTAGTAAACTAATACATAAAACACTTAGTATTAAAGTGATGAAAATAAAGTCGTTGTCGTGTGTTCCCGTCCTCGACAAAACGTACCGTGAAATTTAGCAGTTTCATGTTGTAGTCGTGCAATGATGGCAAAGAAAAGTACACAAAAGCGTGATGCACGTACAAAGTTGTTCTTTTGCTAATATAAACCTATTGCTTTTTTTGCCGTTCTCGTTGCCGTCGCCGTCGTCGTTGCTAAAGCTCCCTTAAAAGAGAGCGGGCAGGCGCATTTTTTATTATTTACGACTTTTTCAACATTACCAATCGAATGCTTCCTTATACGCTTGATGTCAGATCCCGAGAGAAACAGTTAGTGTTATTTTCCCAAGAGTCCTGATGTTTCCCTCGACTTCGTCTCGGGAAACATTAGGACTCGAGGGAAAACAAAACTAACTGTTTCCCGAGGTACCTGACATTAAGTGTTTTGTCATATTTCTAAACTTTCAATTCAACGTACTTCAACAGCAACAAAAGAGTACGCTTTAAGGACCAGTCATTATTTATGTGGGGGGGGGGGGGGGGGGG